TGCCGCACCCGCTCAGGCAGCCTCGCGCCCTCAGGAGCCCGTTCAGGGAGCTGTTTGCCTGACTCCCCACACCCTTCGGTCTGTGGCAAAACCACTCATTCCTCCATCCTTCTGATGCCACTTTTAACATTGGAGGCACTAGGGGAAAAGAAATCATAGCAACACCTCGTTTATCCAATTTTTAGTCTGTTCAGTTAAAAAAAAATAATTAACAAAAATGTTTATTTTGCTGTTTCATAGTAGCACACACAGATTTGCTCCAGTCTTGCAGAGGCCAAATATGATGGGGTAGATTCGTATTTGTACCTTCCTGGCACACGATAGGAAATGGGGAAGTAGGTTCCCATCCCCACGATGCTGTGTTTTGGAGGAAGCATCAATACCTGAGGGGTTCTGGCTATGAAGGGCTCGAGTAACTGTTCAGAGCTGCTTGTTCCCCCCGTGGGCCGTCTTTGCCTTGGATGAGTTTGCCTTTGAGTTTCATGCAAAAACAAGTGGAGAATTCTCTTACAAAAAGTAACGAACGGACTGGAAAAATCATCCAGTGCTTCTGTCTGCCAAGATGGTGCTTGTAGAGTCAGTGCCTCAGAGGAGGGAATTCTGAATTCTTGAGGGGCTGTCCCAAGAGAGCCGTGGTGAGTTTTGATTTGTTTGCTTGTTTGTTTTTAAAGTTTGTTTTTGCCTGAGTTTCCATTTTTTAGTGTCTACATGTCATCCTGAAGGAAACTGCATGTTAGATTGCATTTAAGGAAGAGGTATTTTTTCTCATGTGACTTATGTATCTTATTCCTTAGAAAATGCCATGTAGCAATGGTACGGGTGGTATAACTTGCAGTATCTCTGTGTTTATTAGGAAACTAAGCTGGGAAACATTGTCCAATGCATTTTTTCCCCTGTAGTGCTAGAAGTGCTTTGCCTTCACTTTTCTGCTCAACCTATGCAATGTTGAATCTTGCAATAGTAAGAATAGTTTGGTGATAGTGAGTGGTTGTGAAAGGGATGAGAATGGGTAAACTCGCTATCATTTTGCATTAGTATGTAGAGTAAGAAAGAAAAAGGCAGAAAGTTTACAATCAAACTGTTAAGTTTCCTTCACACTTCTGACATGCCCAACAGCACAGCAATTTTTGGCCATAACCAGTCGTCATACCCTGTTGTCTGAGGTAGTGGTGCCTTATGCTGTTAATTTTCAGCAAAAAGAATGTAATGCTTCTTCTGCATCAACATAACCTTTTTTCTTGGTATAAATATGACTTAAACAAAAACTGAACCCTTTTCTCTCCACTACCTGTTTGTTCCAAACATACTCTTCCTGCTTTATTATTGTGTGCCTGAATCATGTTGGAAACAGGTTAGATCCCAGCCCTGGAGCGCTGAGTGTCATTCATGTGCACACCTAGACACAAGCAGATTTATACCTGCAATGCTCTTTGTGCACTAGAGACATACTGTGTCTTGGGTTGATTAAAGAAGTGTATTTTGTAGAGAAGAGAGAAAAACACTGCTGTTAATTTTAAAAAGGGAGCAAGTAGTGTTTTCATTCTCACCAGGAAAGGCAATTTTGAAGTTAAACACCTCATTGATGGCGCTAATACTGTGCATTTAATTTTCAAGATTGGAAGAAAAGCGATGTTTTTGTTCCCACTAGGGAAGGAACTTCTAAATACCGTATTGATAGCAGTGCTGGTAGATCGTTTGGGGCTTGATAATAGCTTCTCTTGGCAAGATATAACTAAAATCTCAAGGTGAATCATACCAGTGTCTACAATCATAGCAATGCACCTGCACTTGCTGTATAATAAAGAAAGTTTATTTCTGCCTTTGTAAACCACCGAATTGTTATGTCTTCAAAGTCAAGTCTCACTGAAACACAGAGGGCAGCAGCCCCATTGAGTTCAATTAGGTTTGGTGCAGCTAAGGTTAATATGTAGTAACACTCTTTATTCAGCTTAATATAAAAAGTATGGCCTTAACATCCCAGCATGCAAAGATAAAGCTCAGAGTTATTGCCATAGAAGGGTAATAACTGGGATCTTGCTCTGTTGGCACAGTAAATCCTCTGAGCATCGTCCGTAGGTTGGTCCTTACAATAAGTAACATGCAAACACTTGAGAGCCCTGGCCTATGTTCATTAGGAATTCAGATTAAAACAGAGAGAGGAAAATATATTTTGCTATTTCCTGGAAAACATGGAAACATATTTTCCATGTACCACTAGAGCAGGTCATTCAAGGTCTCCTAACCAGCAAGGGGCAGCGTTTCCAGGAGCCGGGTCCTCAGGTGCCAGGGTAGTTGGTTGCTAGTGTTAAGTAAGCTGGGTGTTTGGAGATGCTCCTTTGCCCTCTGATTTAATTAACTGAGACTGTGGAAGTATATTGGGTACCACTGTTTGAGGTAATCCATCTCTGAAGCATAAATCACACACTCTGACTTTGCAACAGAGGAAAATGTACTGCCTAATTGCAGAGGACACTGCTAAAGGTAGAAATGAAGATCTTCACTTTTTTTTCCCCCTCTTTTACATACATGTGCTCTTAATACTAGCTTAGATACTATTTTGCATTTAATAATAAGTTATAGTTGAAACATATATCAGTGCTTACAATAGGGTTTTCTGTTACTTCTCAGTATACAAATTTGTAAAGCTAAAGCTTACTTACAACTTTGCTAAACTTCCATTGCTTGGCTTGAAATTTTCTAAGGGTTGAAGTTTAGAGTAACTGTCATGCTAGCAACCATGACCTAAGAAAAAAGTCAGGAAAACCCCTGGTGTTTAGAATAACATGTTGTGGAGATCATTGTCTTTTAAGTGCTGAAGTGCCTTCATGATCTCAAGTAACTTTTTTTTTCCTGCAATTTGTGTTGCAGAAAAGTTGCAAACCTTTGAAAAAAAAATGCATTTTACACATTTGTGACTAGTGTGTCCCCCCACCATCCTTGCTACTGTTGCAGTTGAACACTGGGGGCTGCAGAGCACAGGAGTCACTCCTCTGCTGCCCTGGACTCGGGTGTCCCTGAGGCTGTAGGCACCGTGCCCTGTGATCGCAAAGACCTGCTTTCCTTGCTCTTTTCTGGTGTGCAAGTGTGTGTGATAGGAATGGTAGAGGGACAAGGATCTGACTGAGGGGAGGAAAGTATTGAATATCTAGGCAGGGAATAAACATAGCCTGAAAGAATAGGGGTAGGATGTTGGAATTAAGTGAGCAAGGAAATTACTTCTTGGGAAAGCTGAAAGAGGATGGGTTCAGACTCGTAAGGCAACGGGACAAATACATATTAGTTGAGGAAGGAGAATGGAGGGGGAGGCTGTGCCAGAAGACCAGCACTGGGAGAAATAAGGGAGAATAGAGCTGAGAGCCTGGGCAAGGAACTGAAGAATGAGAGCACATTGATACAGAAGAAAAATTAAACAGAGGCAAGTCTTGACTTTGAAAAAAGTGACAAGCTGTGATGGTAAGAGGAGCGTTGACAGAAGAACCACTGGGATTTGAACAGAGATGTTGAGAGAGGAAGGTTAAAACTCCACAAGCACAGAGATATTATCATTTCAATAGTTTTTGCATGTGCTAGTGTAAGTAAGACCAAGAAAATATTCCATCCTCTCCAATTTTATGTTTTCTTGGCTTTTCTATGTACTATAAAGGAGCAAAAGAAGTAGGAATCTATTTGTTTGCAAAAATCTATCCTGCAAGCCACCTTTAAAGAGTTTTTAGATTGCTGGCTTTTGGCAAACTACTCTGTCCTAGAGCTGGAGAAAGCAAGAATGTGACTTTAAGACTCTTAATGCAAATATTGGCATGAGATCATTGTAAATCAGGAAGAATCAGCAAAGTGTGAAGAGGGCAAGAAGGTCTTCTCTGAAAAAAAAATGTAAGGAAGGCATAAAACTGAACTTCTACTTGAGCATAAGCATGCATACACATATGCATGTTCAGATACATACATACCTAATATGATATAGATAAGTTTGAAAATATGTTTTACACATATGTATATTATTGGGATTGTAAGAACCTGTAAATGGAGATAACCCTGATCCTTCAAACTAGTCATGCCTACGAAAAGAAAAATTCTAGCTAATATTTTATTGACTTGGGTTGGGGTAGCTGCATTACTCAAATGGATGCTATTAAATCTTTATACTGTGCTATACTAGGATGAATTTTGTATGTGCCACATATTTTGCAGACACAAATAACTATTTTGGAAATGATAAAAGGAGATTTTCTGAGACTCCAGGCAACGTCAGATCTAATTTGAATTATTGCTGTTAAAAATCAATTTCTGTTCTGTTTTACATTATTGTTATACCAATAACCTTGACAACCTGCGATTTAGGTGGTGTGAAGAGCACCTCCTGAAGCTATAGAACTGCCTTATATGCTCTATTTTTGTATATCCTCCTTCTGTCGAGGAGTGGTATTTTGCCTTAATTCCACTGGATGGCACTGAAGGAGACAAGATTGCATGAAAGCATTTCCACAAGTTCAGTATAACTCCAAAAAGTGAGTGTCTTACTTTTTCATTCCATTACTGAAATAGACAAATGCAGACTCATTTTTGATTACGATATAATAATTTGTCATCAAAACCAGCTCTTAAATACCCTTAGTTTTAATTCCGGATTTCAACAGTAGCAAAATTACAGTGGAGGCAGTTAAGTCTTCTCAATCTAATGAACCTTTTCCCCGAGAAAGGTGAAAATTACGGAGTGCAGCTTTGGCCTATTCTGGGTTCTTGTGTAAAGGTTTGTTAAACATTGCCTGAACAAGTTTAAGTCTTCTGTGAATATGGTCACTTCTATCATCATGAGCAAACACATTTTTTAGTTAGCTTTTAAGCTCATAAAAAAAAATCCTAGGCATTCACTGAGAATTAAAGCTTCCACCTGTTGAGGAAATAGAGGGTAGTGTTTCAGAGAATCTCCTGACTGGAAACTCCATCTGCAGTTCCTACACAAGGACCCCTGTTTTTTTTCCTGGGCAGGGACTGTGTGATCCTGCCTGCAAGGCACACAGTACTCTCTGTCACACAGATGTAGAACCTGGGAGTCATCTTTGCTGTCTTTCTCAACCTGTATATCTTGATCTATATGATTTTTTTTCCCAAAATCTCCTCTTAACTCTGTCTATATCATAGAAATCCTTTTCTAGGCTTTTGTTATCTGTCATCATACTTATGATGATTTTTTTTTCTTTTTCTTTTTTTTCTCCAATGCCTGAAATGACCTGTCAAAAAGGTCTCTTGAAACACTATTGTTGTACTTATCTGCCTGGCCTATTTTTGCCCTTCCTTTCTGTACTTCTATAGCATCTCCATAGATTTCCCTGTCTCCACTAGCCCTCTA